TATATACTATATATATATATATATATATATATATATATATAATATATATATATATATATATATATATATATATATATATATATATATATATATATATAGTAGTTATTTATTACTCTATATATATATATATATATATATATATATATATATATATATATATTCTTATATATATTATATTGATATATATATATATATACGTATACTTATATATATACATATATATATGATCCCGCGTACATATTTCTTTGCTTGGTAGTGTTCACCACGTAGTTGTGTTTTCAGCTGACTAATGCGTGCTTTCACTTTATATCCGAATTGCAAGTTTATATCGATAGAAGTATATTGAGTATACAGGGTTAAAAGTTGGTTTCACAAACATACGCAAGTACACACACAGGTGCAGAATGGCGAACTACCATTACGCTCGTCACAATGTAGTTACTGTATATTCTATTCATATTAACGTTAATACCTTCATATCTTTGATAGTTATGTATGTTACAATGAACTATGATTAAACGTTCATGTATGGATCAAAATGAAAAACAGATGTGTCCCAAGCACATACGTTGATACACCCTTTTCAAGTTTGCGATAGAATATACGTATCAAAGCCAAATCTTCGTGTATTTCATGTGAATGCTGTATATTGGTCGCTATGATATGCTATACAGGTTCATTTGCGTTTAATTGTCGTCAGTCTTTTCTTATGCTTCTACGCACAGATGTATACGATATGTATGTTTTAAGGTTCACTTAAGTTTATCTGCGCATGTGCAGTTCTTGTTTTACTGCTGGATCTGACTGGATATATGCATTCCCTGTGTTTACATGTGATTATGCGAACCAAGTTGAGCAGATCAGCTGTATATACTCCATTGTCATACGTCGCTGTACAGGATGTGAGTGTACTGCTTTAGTAGGCCCCACCCGTCAATGTCATAGGCACTGTCGTTTGTTGAGCAAGCGTACTGACGAATGTTTTCCTGTTACAGTTCGAATCAGCCTGGGCACTTACAAATATCGCATCTGGGAATGCTGAACAAACCGCTATTGTCATCGATGCTGGGGCCGTGCCGCACTTTATAGAACTACTCAAATCCGACAGTTCGGATGTATGCGAGCAGGCCGTTTGGGCGTTAGGTAGGCACACTTTATGTCGGTGCGGTGCGCGTTGTTTTTGAAGCCTTTGCGATAACATTCATACTTCGACGACGTTGTGACTTACTTATTCGTATTATATCTGATCTCCTTTGATGCCTTGCGACAGCAATCGCAGTGTGTTGACTGAGAACAATTGGCGGCATACGCATCCAGAACAGATTGTTTTGCATCGAACAGACAAGCATCCCGCCTTTAACCTGAAGGCTCTTGTTCATCAGCTGAACGCTTCCTCACGTTTGTCTTGTCTGTCTTTTACTTCTTCTCTGCGCACTCTACAGGAAACATTGCTGGCGATAGTTCCGCATGCCGTGATCTGGTGCTGAAACAAGGAGGTATGATGCCGTTGCTGGATGTCCTGCACAAATCCGACACGGCCTCCATGACCCGCAATGCGACCTGGGCGCTGTCCAACCTGTGCCGAGGCAAGAGTCCCTCGCCCGACTTCTCACTGGTGCGCGTGTCTCTGCCTGTGCTGGCGCGTCTGATTCAGCTGGGCGACGAAGAAGTGCTGCAGGATGCGTGTTGGGCGCTGTCGTATTTGTCGGACGGCAACGACCACAAGATCGAGGCGGTGCTACAGGCCGATGTGGCCGGTCGCCTGGTGGAGCTCTTGGGCCACCATGAGTCACATGTCGTATCGCCAGCGCTGCGCACTCTGGGGAATATTGTCACAGGGCGTGATCATGAGACCCAGTGTGTGCTGAATGCCGGTGCGTTGCCGCAGCTGAAGAGGTTGCTGCTGACGAGCGACAAGGAGGCGGTGCGCAAAGAGACCTGTTGGACGCTCTCAAATATAACGGCCGGGACAAAGGACCAGATCCAGGTGCGTGCAACTGTACTGTGCAGACCAAGTACAGCCATTTATGTATTCAGCACGTCTGTATATCTCAGAAAGGAATATGGTACCGTGTATCGTACTTGCTATGTCTCTGGAGCAATTGAGTTGCGATATCAGTGTGTGTCTCTCGTTACCGTTCGTTACCGTGTCTGGCATTAGAGTATTTCTAGCTGAAGGTGATGCGAATGAACTGCCTGCGGAGTTGATGCCGGGGCGAGTTGTTTCATCTGGTGTGAGAGTGGTATCGTTCCACTTTGTATAGGACAGTATCAACGCGTACCTGGTTCACACTATCAAGTCTCGACAGTCGTTGTGCTACCATTTATCTTTTGTCAGTCACCTAACGCTAATTATTGGCATCGGTGAAAATGTAGCAGCGATTCAATCGGATATTAATTGCCTGTAAGATGCAATCTACTAACACCCCTTGTTAATCGGATGAAGTGCAGGCGGCGTTTAAAGTGCAAACATAATGTATCTACGTGACTGTGCTATTCTTCATGATCCAATGCACTAACACACATTGTTGTTCGAATTATCTATAGGCGGTGATTGAAGCGGATATATTCCCTGCGCTTGCCAACATCCTCACAGTGGGCGACCACAGGACAAAGAAGGAAGCTGCCTGGGCCGTTTCCAACGCTGCGTGCGGTGGTTCAGACGACCAGCTCAGGTGTGTATCTTACTTAAAATCTTAGGACTGTTTCCATACTTGACGAGGTCGCCGAGTACATCCGCATATACTTGAATGTACTGCTTGTTCATTAATGTATTGTATTGCATTGCATATAAGGGGACACGGTAGCACATACATATGCAGGTGCCTTTCCACACCCCGAATGGATCGCTCATACGCGTATATTGTGAAATATACAAGTGCAGGTGTGTTCCCCCTGTGTGGGGGGGGGAGGCGAATTATTGGGGAAGTGTATTTCGATACATATTTACTATTTAGACTTATAGACTATGTAGTAGTGAGCGCAAAATACATTCGTCAATCCGTTTGCACTCATCAATCAGTATGGGTTTAACGCAAACGCAAATATATTTGAGTTTTGTACGTTTTGGGGTAAACCGAAATTATACTGTTCAACAATATAAACGTTTGTTGAATATATAACGTTTTAACGAGAAACTTCTCTGCCTGATTTTCAGAAGAAGGTTGGTTTTGTCTATAAATATACACACCTATATTACACCACTAAATGAATGATTTAGTCGTGTACAAGACTCGGGACCTGTTTGAGTAGTCCTTGTCTAATTATCCATCCCTGAATTTCAGTCCATGCCGTGGCTCTAATCCTGTCTTCATGTGAATACGTCTGTCAGAAACAGATGCGTATCAGAGCTGTATCTTGCCAACATGAGCTGTATCTTGTTAACATCACCAAACATAAACGTTCTCAAGTTCCTAGCTCCTTTTTCTGTTGTGTGTAGATACCTTGTGGAAGCCGGCTGCATACAGCCCCTCTGTCAAATGCTCAGCGTCAAGGGAGTGGAGAATAAGGTCATGACAGTCATCTTGGACGCCATTGAGAAAATTCTCAAGGCAGGCCAAGACCACGCCGATCTCACGGGCCAGGAAGTGAATGAGATGGCGGTGTACATTGAGTCGTTTGGGGGAGTGGATATTATTGACAACTTACAGAAGCACTTTAACCAACTGGTGTATGAGAAGTCGTATGCGATCATTGAGACGTACTTCAAAGACGATGAGGACGTGAGCATCATGCCGGACGAGGAAGACGGCAGGTATGGCGTCGATTTATGTGTGCGTGAATGCCATTCCAACATTGGAATAGCCTGGTTTAAAGTACTGTGATTGCGACCAATGTGACGGAGTGTTGTTGAGGTGAGGGGAAATTTGGATCTGAAGCAGCTAGCATTATATTTTTAAACCGACGAATAGCGTTACCATGACGGAGTAATTCGTTTTACATACAATTTCGTCTAATGATAAGCGGGATGATATACATAAACTTACACCTATGCTTTACCTGTGACATGGTTGTTCATTTCGCCGCTTCTATTGTGAGATGGTATTGCAGTTCACTTGTACCGCGTTGTAGGCAAAGCATCGAATTCCGCCGCCTGGGCACATCCAAATCGGTCACGTGTCCCTTTAAAGATGCACAACCTTTATTGCGATCTGTCGTATCTTCATACCATACTAAGCTGTAATGGCTCTGTGTTTACTTCCCACCCCTTTCCTACAGCTATACCTTCGATTCCCAAGGCGCTGGCGCCCCACAAGAGGGCTTCAACTTCTAGGTCTTTGGCTGCTAACCATACCAAACCCAACCATATTTATAGTATGTGGTACCGTCAACGGGGTGTTCTATCGCTATACAATCCGTGCGCACTCGATGTCGATGTTGGCTTCGGGATACATATGCGAATGATGTAACTGACGGAAATAAATACACGGGACAGATTTAGTAAACCACGCTTTGTGCACAAGGAGCTTTATTCTCTCCTCTCTCGCTTCGATTCGGTGTGCCCTGATTGTCCGTGTCATTCGACCCGGCGTTGTGCCGGCTGGTAGACTACTGTACACTACTATATTTTATTTATTTGGTCGTCATGACCTGCTTATAATGCCCTTGTCAGTATCTCAGATAGGCACTCTTTATTCAGTATCAAACTGTTTCCCTTCATGCTTGACGAGGCAGCAGCTTTGTCAACGACAACGGGTATATCAGACTCCTTCATACCTGTGATCACAAACAAATAATATTGTGAATTAGTGACACGCGGAAGTGCACACACAAGAGTATTCCCCATGGTTTTAAGGACCTTATGATAAGGTGTACATCCGTTTACTCGATATATCCGAAATGCAATATATAGACATGGAACCTATATATCCGAAATGCAATATTTATACATGAAATCTATATATTCTACATGCAATATATAGACATGGAACCTATATATTCTACATGCAATATATAGACATGTAATCTATATATCCAACATGCTATAAATAGACAGAAAATCTATATATTCAACATGCCATAAATAAACATGGAATCTATACATTCAACATGCCATATATAGACATGGAATCTATATATTCAACATGCCATAAATATACAAATAATCTATATATTCAACATGCCATATACAAACATGGAATCTATATATTCAACATGCCATAGATATACGTGAAATCTATATATTCCACATGCCATATATAGACATGTGATTCATATATTCAATATGCAATATATAAACACGAGATTTATATATTCAACATGCCATATATAGACATGTAATCTATACATTCAACATGCCATATATAGACATGAATTCTATATATCCAACACGCCATATATAGACATGGAAATCATATATTCAAAATGCAATATATAAACATGAAATTTTCAAATTCAACATGCCATACAGAGACATGTAATCTATATATCCAACCCGCCATGTACAGACATGAAATCTATATATTCAACATGTAATATATAGACGTAGAATCTATATATTCAACATGGGACGTGAATTTTACATATTCAATATACGGATGTGCCGCAATGATATAACATGTCGGCCATTCTTAAGTTTGCGGCCTGGAAATTTCTCGTCATGTGATATATTGATCAGTAAGTCAGCCAATGTGTTATAGCCTCATGAGGCGGAATTGCATGAAAGTTCGTGTTTGCACTATATCAACTTACCGTATGCAGAGAGTTTTGCGACTCCCAATTTACTGCACAAGTCAATCAGCCACACGACCATGTCCTCGACACTTGCGCCCGGATTACTCGTACAGACAATTGCGGCCTACAACCATGGCGATTTACATCGGTTATTAGCTTCAACGAGACGAGCTTGGAGTCATTCTCTCATGAATAAAGAAAAACGATACAGTGCTTGAAAAGGAAAAAAAACAGAAAATGAATGGGACCTTATTGACGTCTTCTCGAGGAATAGTATGAGCATATACCTGCCGGTTTATATTTCATACACTTACCTGTTTATATTTCTGCAGCATCAGTGCGTTTCCTTGTGCGTCTTTAGCCAGTTCTCGTACATTGACTTCAATGACAATGGGCAATAACACCGCACACACAGCGCCGTGGGGCGACCCAGGCAACATGCCACCCAAGACTCCTGAATGTTCAGACAAGTACAGGGATGAGTAGGTGTGCCCGTATGCATAATCCACTTTGTCAGTGTCGGACCTAATTGTATGAACCAATTGTTTTTTGTGCGGTGTTATGCGTCCTAAGCTAAACTGCTTTGAAATGGGTAGCTCAATTAATCATGAAGGTGCACACAATTGGTAGCCGTTCTGTTGCGAAGACTCTTCAATATCAAGCAATCACAACAGGTAACCCAATTGCTTTCCTAAAAAACCTCGTTATTCTGCGAAGTTATGTGCCCGCACTCAATCATGGGTTCTAAGATCAGCACTTACAAGAATGCTTCTGCACATGATATCTGGAACAGCTCTCTTTCTCACCGTAAATACATTCAGTTTTCACAATTTACACTGATATGAAAACACACAGACA